GAATCCGCCACCAGCCCCTCACACGTGGCGCGCCGTCCTGGAACTTTCACACACTGGATCCGCGCCGCGAGGGAATCCCGAGGCTTTTATCAATACAGGCGCCTGACGTCACCCGCTCGAACCCCGCCCTCCTATGGGGGCGGGGCTTGCTCTTAAAGAGACCGCTACATTCCCAGGCAAAGTCTCGGGGAGGGGGGTTTCAATCCGCCACCAGCCCCTCACACGTGGCGCGCCGTCCTGGAACTTTCACACACTGGATCCGCGCCGCGAGGGAATCCCGAGGCTTTTATCAATACAGGCGCCTGACGTCACCCGCTCGAACCCCGCCCTCCTATGGGGGCGGGGCTTGCTCTTAAAGAGACCGCTACATTCCCAGGCAAAGTCTCGGGGAGGGGGGTTTCTGTCGAATTCCGGGTGACTTGTGAGGACTTTTAACCTCTGAGCTCTGAGTTTCCAGTGGGTGCTGCCATCTGGTTTCTTTTCCTATCGGACCAGACTTGGACTGAAATCTGACCAGCCACCAGTGTCACCCGTCTGTGCTCAGCATCTCCTGCCCTCCTGGTGCAATTGTTGCGGTGGCAAAAACCACCGGGGGGCGTGGGGGGGGAGGCGTGTCTCCACTGGCATGTTACACAAAACAACCCGGTGTTAAACGGAACAGCCTAAAGGGGATTGAATCCGACCTGACAACTGCCCTTGACATCCAAAGAAGGAAAATTCATTTCACAAGGGCAGGCCTGGAAACTGCTGAGCCACTTCAAAGAAACCGGCTCCCAAAAGGATGTAGATTAATCCCCAGGATTTGTTTTTAAAACGTGTTTGTTTTAGTCCTTTGGCCCCAAACTCCAGCTGCCCTGTGTTTGCTTCCCTTGGTAGAACCCAAGGGCTGTGGCCTCTGCAGTGCGAGTGGCGGCCTAGCAGACTCTGACTCACTGTGCAACTCTGGGCAAGTCTCTTCACCGCTCTGTGCCTCAGTTTCCCCACCTATGCACTGAGGGCCTTGTTACCCACCCACCTCCCAGAGGGGAGGGGAAAACTTCCTTAACGTGCAGTGCAGGCTGCTCTTTGAGGCTGCAGAGAGCGACCTTCTAGAATGACCCTCTGCCCGTCTCTAGCATCCAAGGAGCTCAGCTCTCTGGGTGCCAGAAGAACAGAAGGGCCTGCACCCACCTGAGGAATCGAGAATTTTAGCTCACGGCCCGGGGCTTTTTTGCGCAAAACAAATCTGAGCTGTCTACACCCCAACCCACACACAGGAGTTGAGCAGAAGGAGTTAAGCACCTTGCAGGATTGGGCCCAGAGCTCTGGCTGGAATCAGTAAGGCTTGTTAAAGCTATAGAGAGTCCTCCAAGTCTGGGAAAGGCTTGGCTGCGAGGCGGGACAGACAGGAGGACAGGCCCAGGCCAGACTTTACCAGAGAGTCAGAGATGGAAAACAAAACAAACCCTAAAATGTCACTGAGTCTGCCCCCCTGCCAGGGTGGGATAGGAACCAGCAAGCATGGACATTGCTCTGATTGGAGCAGCGTTCAGGGTGAGCAGCTGGAGCTGGGCGAGAGGCTTGCATTACATACAGGAGCACAGCAAAGGGGGCTGGTGGGAAGCTAGAAGCCAGCCCCCAGGTGTTTCTTACGAGACAGGCTGCCCAGAAGGCTCCATGTGGTCAGGTCCCCAGGCTGTCCCAGCTCAGCTCATCGACCCTCGCTGCTTTCTTGCTGGCAGAGGGGGCTGGACTGCAGGGTTCCCTCTCCTGAAGGAGGAAGCTGCCTGTGGGGGGTTCCCCCTCTCCAGAGACATACACCCTGGCTGTGTCTAGACTGGCAAGTTTTTCCGCAAAAGCAGCTGCTTTTGTGGAAAAACTTGCCAGCTGTCTACGCTGGCTGCTTGAATTTCCACAAGAACACTGACTTCCTACTGTCTGAAATCAGTGCTTCTTGCGGAAATGCTATGCTGCTCCCGTTCGGGCACAAGTCCTTTCGCGCAAAAGGGCCAGTGTAGACAGCTCAGATTTCTTTTGCACAAAAAAGCCCCGATGGCGAAAATGGCGAGCGGGGCTTTTTTGCACAAAACCGCGTCTAGATCGGCATGGACGCTTTTCTGCCAAAAGTGCTTTTGCGGAAAAGCGTCCTGCCAATCTAGACGCTCTTTTCCACAAATACTTTTGCATTTGCAGAAAATCATGCCAGTCCAGACGTAGCCCAGGTGTATCGCACTGCAACGCTGATCCCGTGTGACAGAGCATCCGTCCAGTCCCTGGCGCTTGGCAGGCTGAGATACACCCCGCCCCGCCCCGCCCCGCCCCGCTCGCTCTGTGCCGGC